CTGTGGCTCAGTCACACAACTGGCAGAGGGAGATCCAAAGTCTATTCAGCACAGTACAATGTCTACAAGTAGGACTACACACCTGGCAGAGGGAGATCCAAAGAGAACAAGTCTGAGGATCTCAAATGCCAGGGTTTGGAAAATCTACTCCAGTCATGTGACTTTTCACCAAACATGTGCATACCTTGCCATGTGGGTTCTGCACAGAATGCACATGGCAACTGATCATGTGACCAATCACATGACCAATCACATGCATTGGCAGTTCCCTGACAGTGAGTGGTGGGCTTGGCTTGGATTATCCATGGCCAATGTTCCCTTACAGGACCTGGGGATAGGACATCCCCAGTCCAGACAATAGCATTGCTTCTAGGTTTATTCACTAGCATAACTGTAAGCTTGGCCAGTGTGGCCCCTTGCCTTGCCTTGCCCTCTGCCTTTGCCCCTCATTGGTTGCCTGCCACTTGGCTGCCATGCCTCTGGCTGGCTTGCTCGCCACTTGCCTCTTGACTGGATGGTCAGGATGTGAGTGGTAGGCTTGGCTTGAACTATCTATGGCCAATGTTCCCTTACAATTCAAGTACATCAAATGATGATAGGGAATATCAATTGAGCTACTGAAGCCAAGCTCTTTCAAAGAGCATGGGATAGTCAGGGTAATTCTATACATCATGTACAAATGCATCTGTAAGATGCTTGCTGTGGAAGAACACATTCATCAAGCAGGTGGTGAATGCTCAGTTACTACTGTCAATGTACAACTCACAGCAGGTTGTCACAGAATCAATCACTGGCAAGACACTGTGCATATTTAAGGCAAAGAGATATTGGAACAAGCATTTTTTCAACCACAGTAGCATCAGAAGCAAGGAGATTTGACCTTAGAAAGTGAATGGTTGAGCCCTGCTTCTTTTTGTGTGAGGTGGATAGTTACAGATTCAATTTCCAGATAAGTCTATGCTTCATTATGGGAATTGGGAATTTGCCTATGCATGAGAATTGTTGGGCTGTCTCACCAATGGAAATGATCACCTGGTCATCACAACCATCAGGGCTAACTAGACACATTGATCCCCCCCTTGTAAAATGCCTAGTTAACCCCAAACATTCTGTAACCTGCAACTGACAATAATTATGAATATTTCTTGTAAATTTACCTTCTAAGGAAACATCAGTCCCATGTCCAGGACATCACATTCCCTCAGTCTCATGCTCTCATTCATCACATGCTCATGCACCCTCAGTGACTCTTTGTCGTCATATCTCATCCCTCTGCACCTGCACATCATTCTTGTTGGTCACTGTCATCCCATGCATCAATATTTGTTTCTCACCGCTATCAAATATAATATAATACTCTTTACCATTGTTTCTACCATTTTCCTTTAACATTATTTCTATTCATCAAGTACACATCTCTATTTACAGCATTATCTCGTACAGTCTCTGCAACAGCTGTTATTACAGTAGCTGACATGGGAAAGCCCAAAGGAACAGGTATCTCCTGATGCAGCGAAACTGTTTCATAACCAGACGCCACACGGCAACTTCATTTTGATTTTACTTTTGACGTTACAAATACTTAGCGTTCTTAGTTCGGAATGGATGCAATTGCGGCATTCTAGTATGTATTTGAGCACCATTGACATGACCGTGCTTTCAATTTCCCACGATGACCCACTAGGTTCCCGACCTCTTCTAACAAGTTTGACAAATTGAAGTCGACCTTGGGCCTTGCTCGAGGATGAAGTTACGAGGGGGGTCGCAGCTTTCTAGTTGCATCACGTCTTTGCCACCGGAGCTTCTAGTAGAGGTTTTTGTTTGGTGCGCCGTTAATGACTCCTTAGCACCACTTACAATCCAAAGCGTTTCAAAATGGTGGAGATATCTAGTCACATCTTCACCCAAAGCATGGCAGCGCGTTCTACTCGATGGACGGGTGCATTCCCTTTCATTTCTGAGGGCACAAATTACACTCTGGATAGAGCGGTCAATGCCAATGCCTATGGACGTCGAACTGCATATCCAAACCTCTGACAACATACTGCCAATCTTATCGCCTCTTCTTCCTCACATCCAACGGTGGCGCTCATTCACCATTCAGGATAAACAGGAGAGATTGTTTTTGAAAGATGTCAATTCTTCAGATAGCCACCTCACCGATCTTCGCATATCAATACAAGATGACCCTGACAGGATGCACCATCAGACTTTCATAGCGTATGAACAGCATTTCGGCATGCAAGTGGACATTCTTCATCTCCCAAAGTCACAGTCCCTCATGCCGCTGCACATTACCAACTTGAAACTATCGGAAGACAGCCCTAACAATCTTCACAGTGATCCCAGGGATATCCTTGACTTTCTAACGGTCTGTCCGGAGCTTCAAACCTTCTGCTTCAGGGGCTGGTACCACAACGAACATCCATCAATTGAACCCCTTCCCATCGCACATCTCCCTTACCTTCATACTTTGCAGCTAAAGAGTACTTGCATGACACGCGCAATCTTGTCACACCTTGACACTCCTCAACTAGTGAATCTCTACCTTTCGCACTTAAACACGGAGTTCGAATTGAGGGGTGATTATAATGAAGAAGGCGACAGTGAAGACGAAGCGCATGACTTCTCCCAGTCCCCTTCAACCGATCGAGCAACGGGTATGGGGCTGCGTATTCTCATCAACCGTTGTAATCCGCCGATACGACTCCTCGACATGGACTATAGCGACCTGCGTACAAAGGATTTTCGGTTCATATTCGAGAGGCTGCCTTGGCTGCAGGACTTCCGCATTGTTGCCTCCGACATGTCCGACACTGTCATTGGACTCCTCAGTCCATACATTCTTTCTGACAAGCAATCTCCCCAAATACGGCTTCGTTATTTGCGGTCGTTGTGCTTGCATAACTGCAATCGTCTCTCTGGGGACGCTGTTGTTAATGCATTGGTTGCACGTGTGAAATACACCAATGAGCAACCAGCTCTTGTCGAGACACTAAACAACGTGGCCATCATCACTTGTTATATGGTTCGCTTCGAGCACGGGGAAAGGATTATGGAGCTCCTAGGGAACAGGTTGCGATTGCAACTAGCTTGAATGTGACCGTAGCCTGAGCGGCGGTTAAAAAGTCGTTGTGCCGAGCCCTTACCATTATGCACTCGATTTCCACAGTATTTTCAGGAATACCGAAGGCTCGAACACTACCCGGCCTCCAAAACATTAGAACATCGCTAGGATGGATAGAGATGGGGACATGAATCCTCCCACAATCTTAGGCTTCCCCTTGGCTGTAATAGATAGTTCGCTGTGGCCAATTAGTACACTATGAAGATACTAGTTCCTTGGAGAATTTTCGTGACACAGCGAATTATGGCTGACCTTTTGAAGATGAATCGAGTTGTTTCGTAACAAATCAGGAATTTGTCATGCACCCGAGTGTCAAAGTGCTGTTTGTGCATATAAAATAGATGTTGCTTCGATGATACTTAGCGTCATGGTCAAATCCTGGCTTTCAGTCATCCAATCTTTTGTGCTTTTGTAGATGAAGTGGTGAGATGTTGTGACAGGTAGAAACATACGCGATGATAGATATTTTTGAGGTACGTGGTAAGTGTCTTTGCTAGTATATCGGTTAGTACACGCGCCTGTCATTATTACAATGTACGCGCGAAAGCTGGGTTCGACTCCCAGGCAAAGAGTTTTTTCTTCCTGTTTGTGAAAGAGGAAATGGTAGAGTCGCTGTATAAAGGCGTACGCACAGATTAAGTATAGACGCAAGTAGACAGACGGACAGACAGACAATCAGGACACAGCCCTTAATTAACGTTTTTAAGACGCTGCTGGTTGCTCGAAGGTCACGTGCAATCTTGAAGACTCCAACTTGCCGTTTCATCTTATTTCTTATATCAACATGGCCGTTTTGGAGAGCAATGATCAACTTGGACAGCTATGGGCACTCATTCAAGAACTCAGTGAACAGCTAAATCAAAATCGTAGCGTCTCTGTCTCTTTGCTTGCGCAGGCCGGAAACATCAAGGCCAGTCCAGCAGAAACCCAATCTATTACCCTGTCAAGTGAACTCTGAACATAGAATCAGGCCATTCATTCTCAGACAGGATTTGTCCTTCGTCGGTTTGTTCTCCATTCTGTGCCTTCAAGCTTTATGATATCACTTTCATTAGGTTCAACCTTGACAAATCTCAAGGTTTGTAATCGAAAACAGCTTCAATCACTCGTCGCTTATGGGAAGTAGAGGAGTACGATGCTGAATTGGAGCGAATGAACACGTCGATGGTTGCTGAAAATCAAGCCTTGCAACGTGACAATAAAGAACTCAACACTTTAATCAAGGATTATGAACAGACGCTCGAGACACTAATGAGTTGAGTGTCACATATTATTCATCATATACCATGAGGAATCTCATTAATATTCATGTAGGCAGCTTTCGCAATCGCGCAGTACGTGACTTTTCCCCATGTCCTGTGAACATACGGTGATGCGTTAATGTATTTTTCTCTCTACAGAAAGACGTCCAGGAACGAGAGCTTTCGTTGATTCGTGAATATGAAACGAAAATTCTCGCGCGACAGGATGATTATGTTACTCAGGACCTCGCTTCCGCCGTTACTTTTTCTCAGTCCCTCGCCCGCATTTCCCGTCTCCTTCGACAGTTCCTTCGATCCCTCAATGGCGAAGACCTTGATTTGCCAATTCCAAGGCAGAATGGTGAAGATCACCGTGAATCTTGGACAACCACCGCTGCATCTGAGTATGCCCTCGAAAGAGAAACCGAACTTACTCGGCTTGAAATTGAGAACGAGGAATTAAGGCGGATGCTAGGATTGGCTGCAGCGCCCACGACTCGCCCAAACATATCAGAAACACGGCCAACTTTTGAGCCACTACAACGGGATGATGAGGGAATGAATACGCAGAACCCAGAGAGCACCTCGACTATCGTCGGACCATTTGGCACATATAAGCGTCTACGTCCGCAGGTTTGAACTCTTGCAGAGAAAGTGACTATTCATTTTTGAACTACCGTTTAAATGCTAATCGTCACCCCTCAGATAACCTTTTTGCAGCGGCAGTTACTAGGGTTATTTTGCAGTATCACGTTAGCTTTGTTCCTTGTCTCTTTCAATATCCAACCTATACCTGGAGTAGTCGCACAGCACAGTGCCAAGTACTGCCGGCGAAAGACTGAGGTTACCTTTCTCTCTTCTCTTCAGGCAAGTTACTTGGATTTTGGTAGGCATTTATGATAAACTCTTGCGAAGCTCGAGGCGGCCCGTGATTCAAGTTTGTGTGGGCCTCCGTGCGAATATCGATGCTGCACTCGAAAACAGATTACTTTCTACTGGCATTTTCTCACTTTTTATGAGAACAAGGTGCAAAATCTGGTTTACAGACTACACACTAGCTTGTGTTATTCAATTCGCCTCTCGTATTGTTGTTGGCTGTCTCTAGCCCTTGAAGCTTCAATACTGGGCATACAATGCCTTAATTCTTGTGACCATTCTGATTAATATGGTATGTCTGGTGAGCCTGTTCTCGTACGTTATCGAGTCGTTCAAGTATGACATCACTCCTGTATGTAATATTTGTCAAGAATGCTGATGGTGAGTCGCGGCTCTGAACTTTTGCTGATGCGGGCTTCCTGTGCCGGCAAGGATGAGCTAAATATAACTGATGAGTATTTTTACGGTGGCTGACAAAGTAATGATCTTGATGGTCTATTATTGTGTCAAAAGCCATCGTTTCCACCTGGTCATCCCTAGTTAGCCCCAAACAGTCTGTAACCTGCAACCGACAATAATTATGAATATTTCTTGTAAATTTCAGGGCATTCTTTTGGAAGACTTGGCAGTATATGGATGCCTATGAGTGAGTTTATCATGCATTTGAAGTCTGATTTCATGGACAGGAAGGGACTTGATGCAAAACAAGCAGTGTTTGTGATCAGAAAGTACTGGTCACATCATTAATTTGAGCTGCCAATGAGTATGAGTTTGAGGGGAAGGGTTTATGTTCAGACTAGTCAGCACAAGTGTGCGAGAAAGAAGTGGGATTCTTTGAGCCCGAAAGTTCTTGAGTCGGCCACCCAAAAGAGGCCAAACTCAAGCTAACTACAAGGGGCTAGTCTAGGTAGTATGAGTAGTAATGTAGCATAGAATGAAATGAGATAGGGATGGTGGGTGGGGATGCAAACACATAACATAAGTGCTATCTAATCAGACAAGTACTGTGAGCACAGTGTGAGAAGATGGTGGGTGAGTGTAATGTACATAGAGAGAGATATATGTACCTGCGAGCACAGTGTGAGATGACAGTGTCGTTCCCAGCTGTGCCCGCAGGGATATAAGTGGAATGAAACAATGGAGAGAATGAAAGGTTGGTGGACAATGAGTGAGTTGATCTAGGCACCAATTAACCCCAGGCAATCACACCCTCTTCACATTGCCCAATTTATTAGTTTGAGCTGCCAATGAGTATGAGTTTGAGGGGAAGGGTTTACATTCAGACTAGTCAGCATGAGTGTGCAAGAAAGAAGTGGGATTCTTTGAGCCTGAAAGTTCTTGAGTCAGCCACCCAAAAGAGACTGAACTCAAGCCATGACAGTGTAGCCCCAAAGAGCCAGAGGTTCAAAAGGGGTGAGTTGAGTGTGGGCCAAGTGTAGGAGGGAAGATAGGTAAAGGATGTGTGTGGGGTTATTTTCAATGTACAGCTTGTAAGCATTGCTGCACCACCATCCCAGGAGCTGAATCTCATAGTCTGAGTATCCTGCAGCTGCAGCAGCAGAAGCAGCACCATGATGGAAGCTGTGGGCAGTGTACAGGGCAGGATTGAAGCTAGCAAGTGTGAGAGCATCACAGATTGCCTTGACAAAGTAGGTGTATGATAGGGCCTTGCCATCTGGCTGTTCAAAGAGAGGTGCATCTGGCTCATGGGGAAACTCTCAATAGAGGGCATTGAGTGCAGCTATGGGGCAGGTGAGGTAGCTGGGTGCAGAGAATACAGTAATGGTGACACCTTTGCAAAATGGGTCAGTTTTGGAGGCAGGGAGCATCAGGTGGGTGTGGGTGGCATTGTCAAAGTTTGGGAGGAATTGGATGGAGCAGTGTGTCAGGTTGAGGCTCACATTGAACTTACTGCCTTTTCCTATAGTAAATTTGCCACTATGTAGGAGTTCCAAGTATGCAAGGCAGCATGCAGCATAAATTATTGTGTGGCCAGCTGCCATGCTAGCTCTGAGTTGAGTGAGGAGGGCAGTGAGGATGGAAAGTGTGATGGGCTGGACTGGTTTATGATCTTGTTTGCCATGAAACTGCTTGATGCTGCAGATGAGGCATTGTACAAGGGGGGACTCTGTGGCTTCAAAAGGCAGGTTAGCATTGACATGGAAAGAGTGGACAGCAGAAAGATATGCCTTGATGGTTTTTGGCTGGACTCAGCCACCAAGGCTTGCAACCCATAACAGGACAGCCAGTTGGGAGGCAGGGAGGATGGAACCATCAGAGTTGTAGAGATTATTGAGCTGGACATGGAGGATGAATTGTCATTGGCCTGTTGAGTAAGTTTTTTGTGTGCTTGCTGCAAGCCCATGCCACAGATAGAATGTGACAGTTTTGGTGTGGTGTCAATTTTGTTTGTACCACCAAGATGAAAGATCTTTAAGGATGGCATTTTGTCCAGCCACAGTGCAATCTGAAACATGCATGTGAATCCAAAGCAAGAGGCAGCATCAGCAACTGAGTTATCAGAAGAAGAGAGCCAGGCAGAAGAAAAGGAAAAATTAAGGTGGCAGGATAGGGCAATCAGTTATTGGATGAGCTTCATTGTTGGTGCAGATCAGATGGAGGTACTTTGGATGGCATTGAAAACTGCCTCATTGTCAACATGGAAAGTGATGTAGTGGCTCCTGAAGGCCTCCCCCCAGCAGAGGATCACATAGAGTACTGCAAACATTTCCTTGACTTGGATATGTGCAGTGTGGAGTCAGTGAGGGCAGTGAGCTGCAAACCACTTTGTTCCAAAGTGGCCACCAAGCCCTTTTGCCCTGCTAGCATCAGTGAAAATGTTGAGGTTGCAGCAGGAGGGGGAGATGAGGTGGATGCCATTCCAGCTGACAGCCATGATGTGCCACCATAAAATGTCATGTTGGGCTGGCTTGGTTATGTGCCTGTGGGTGAAGCATGACTGGCTGGGGAAGGTGGCAGCTAGACCATAGAGTCCCCTTAAGAAGGCACATAATGTGGGGATAACCTGGGAGGCAAACTGCAGGTAGCCCATGAGTTTGTCAAGCTTGTGGCATGTGCAGATCTGACATGAGGTCCAGCTGGAGGTGAGTTTGCAGAGGTGATCAAGCTTCTCCAATGATAGACAGATCTCCATCTTGATAGAATCTAGTTCCAGCCCTAGAAATTCCATTGTGGTGTCCAGGCCAATAACTTTTGATGGCTGAAAAGTTAACCCAAGCTGTGAGCCCAGTTCCATGGCCCAACAGAGTGCTTGCTTGACTGTGTTGGGTGGGGTTGTGGGAGGGAAAATGCCAAGAAAATTGTCAAGGTAGTGGCATAACCAAGCTGATATGTCATGTTGTAGGATCCAATGCAGTGCTTCTGCAAAAAGGTTAAAAATGTAAGGTGCCAAGCAGCACCCAAACCCAAGGACTATGTCATGATAGAATTTTTCC